TGAGCTAGTATGAGTTTATAATGAAGCATCTCTTGCATTGAAGTTATTTTACTTATGAAAAACTAAGAGTTTTACAATAGTTACTATGTAGTTCTGAGATTGTTAGACTTGTATCTTCAGTATAAAAAATTTCAACAGAAAGGGAGGTGTATAGATTTGGTAGCTGCACCTTATTATTACGAGGTGTTTTAGGTGCTTTTCAATTTATTTTTATCATTTATAATGCAGGAGAAGCAAGGTGATCTCTTACCAAAGCTCAGGGATAAAGTAAGCACTCCAGAGGGAGTTCCACGTCTTTTTGATCTAATTAGAGTTCAGGATGAAAGGATGAAGCTTGCTTTCTATGCTGCTTTGGGTAACACTGTTGTAGCAAAGGATCTGGATCAGGTAGACTTCAGATTCTTCATGCAGCTGATATCTTTTGTTTTGTTTTTATATACAAAGGCTCTGCAATTTAGCTCTTTTTAGCAGGAGAAAGTCCTATTTGTTGTCCATAACCATGTGCAATGGAAAGAACATTCATATAGCTAACTAAGCTACTTGAGTTGTAGTTAGAGTTTTACATGCCATTCATTTTTTGGATTATGTGAACTTGCAATAAATGCAGCTGAAGGAGTTGGCCTGTCAAAATAGTAGAGTGATTTGTTCTTTCTCTTTCTCTTTTTAAATTTTGTTTTACCTTGCTATTTTTTTTTTTTTTTTTGAAAAAAAAATTGTCTGAAAAATATGACAAGTTAAACTGTGGTGGCTTCAGGCTGCTGAGAGAACTGGGCAAACTATCCTTATGTAAGCAGCAAGATTTTTTTTGAGGCAATTAGGAAGAAATTTTTATTCCATGACGTTGTACGATTTTCTCCTTAAAAGGTTGCAAGGCACAACTAAGAGCACAAAGGTTGCTGGAGCTTAGGTGCTCATGCTATTCTAGATTATGAAGGCGCAGGCGACGAGCAAGGGTGAGGCGCAAAAAAAAAAAAAAAAAAAAATCACAAATCTGTTTTAAGATACAAAAAAAAAAAAAAAAAAAGGAAAAACACACATAAATAAAGAAAAATCAACAACATATTGACTTATATTTTAAGATATTGGAGTTTAGAAAGAAAGGAGTAGAATCAAGAACAACAATAACAAGAGAATTAAGACTTAATCCCAAACTAGTTGGAGAAGAGAATAGAAAGAAAATAGAAGACAAGGATAGGAAGAGGAACTGAGAGACATATTTGAATCATTAAATGCTTGCTGGTTAGACGCTAGATTGTAGGAGGTGGCCACTAGACAGAAGAATGGAGGCTGAATCACAAAACATTACTGGTTTTCTATGTTGCGTTCTGTTTCTTTCATTTATTTTATGTAACCAGATGCCAACGAGACAGCTTTATATTCAAAGAAAACCCTAGGGGACATTTTCAAGAAAAAAAAAAAATAGGAAGGAAGCTGAAAAGGCGCAAGCTCTTAAGCCTTAAGTTAGGCGTGCCTTTAATAACTATATTGGAAACAAGTTCCTCCTTTTAATGGTGAAATATTTTATGAATTACAATATTTTTCGATCTCCTAACATGACTAGTTTGCTTTTTTTCTTTGTAACTGTTTGAAAATAGAGTTAAATTCATGCAGTTTTAGTTACTTTTCAAGCTTTTACTTGTTTTTCTATTAATAGGCAACACGAATTGCATATAGTGGACACGTAGAATTTCGACGTGTGGTTACTCTTGATGGTGCACTTTTTGAAAAATCTGGTACTATGAGTGGTGGGGGATGCAAGCCACGTGGTGGTAAAATGGGCACTTCTGTTCGGGCTGCTAGTGTTTCTGCAGAAGCTGTTGCAGATGCTGAGAAGGAGCTCTCTACTATGGTTGATAAGTTAAATGGCATCCGCCAAAGAATAGTTGATGCTGTAAGGAGTTACCAAGCCTCAGAAAAAGCAATTGCACACTTGGAAATGGAACTGGCCAAAATTCAGAAAGAGGTAATACCCCTAGTACAGTTTGTGCATCAATTATGTAATACCTCTAGTACAATTTCTTTTAGCTTTTGCAGAGGGATATTAATTCTTTAACTCTTGCTGTTAACAGATTGACAGTTTAAATTCAGAGCATTCTTATCTTGAAAAACAACTTGGTTCTCTGGAGGCTGCAGCACATCCAAAGAAGGATGAGCTTGACAGGTTGGAGGAGCTGAATAAAGTCATATCTACAGAGGAAAAGGAGATTGGTAGACTTATGCAAGGTTCTAAAAAGCTGAAGGAAAAGGTATTTGAGGAGTTTATTGCTATTGGTAAATGCAAGTTTCAATTCAAACATTCTGGAAACCTGGACAACAAATGTTCTGTTGCATTGCTGATTTGTGCTTAATGTTTTCATTCCCTCTGAAAGTCTTCTAATCTAATGTTCTACAGTTCAATTTAGTAAACTTATCCTTAGTTGTCCTGCTGATAGGCATTGGAACTTCAGAGTAAAATAGAAAATGCTGGTGGTGAAACATTGAAAGCACAGAAGTCAAAGGTCAACAAGATTCAGTCTGTAAGTCCAAAGATAAGGTTCAAATGCACAAGTTTCTATTATTTACTGCCATTATTAATTTTTTTTTTCTACCTACTAACAGGATATTGATAAAACTAGCACGGATATCAACCGTCACAAGGTTCAAATAGAGGCGAATGAGAAAATGATAAAGAAGTTAATAAAGGGGATTGAGGACTCAAAGAAAGAAAAGGATCGACTTGTTGAGGAGAAGGAAAAGTTGAGAAGTGTTTTCAAAGAAATAGAAGAAAAGGCATTTGCAGTCCAGGAGAACTATAAAAAGACACAGAATGTCTGGTTTATTTGATCTTTTATCTTTCAGAAAGACAACTCACTTTTGGGAGCAAGTATCACAGTTATTATGTGCCTTTCTTGTCTATTTTGCAGTTGATTGATCAACATAAAGAAGTATTGGATGAAGCAAAATCTGAGTATGAGAATTTGAAAAAAGTTGTGGATGAGTTGCGTGCTTCAGAGGTACTGTGTCCATAAATGTGATCCATTTGATATGTCTTATATTATGGTCAAATGACTAACTTCTACAATTAATTTTCATTGTCATAGGACAGGTTGATGCTGATTATAAATTACAAGATATGAAGAAAGGCTGTAAGGAGTTGGAGTTGAAGGGAAAGGGTTACAAGAAAAAGCTTGATGATTTGCAAAATGCTGTAACACAGCATATGGATCAGTATGTCTTTTATGGAGAAGTTTCCAGTATTTGGGGCTAGCCATAATCAAGGAGCATGTTTAATATTGTGTTCTTGGTTGCAGAATTCAGAAGGATCTAGTGGATGCTGAAAAGCTTCAAGCGACCTTGGCAGATGAGACTCTTGCCCAGGCTTATGATCTCAAAAGGGCCCTTGAAATGGTAACCTTGCTGGAAGCACAACTAAAAGAGATGAACCCTAATCTTGATTCTATCTCAGAGTATGACTTTCTATTTTTCATATCATTTTAACAATTTGCATATTGGGATTTTCGTATTTTCGTTCTTTCTCGTACTCTGCTAAATTTACTGGTGCATACAGATATCGGGGGAAGGTTGAATCATATAATCAGCGAGTTGAGGAACTAAACATGGTTACTCAACAGCGTGATGTTATAAAAAAGCAACATGATGAGTGGCGAAAAAGAAGGCAAGGGCATTGTTTGTTTACACATATTCTAGAATCTATATGTCCTCATTGTTATCTCTTACAAACGGTGAATGTTAATTGAGTTTGTTAATAATTCAGGTTGGATGAATTCATGGCAGGATTCAATACAATATCATTGAAGTTGAAGGAAATGTATCAGGTTGTGATTCAGGATGTGGATGTGCATATATATGTGTGCAATTTTTCTGCTTAAGCGTTTCTTCTTTGTTTGTCACTTTAGTCTTCAATTGTACAGACATAACTTGAATTAATGTTAAACTGTGATATGATAGAAAAGTTCAGTTGTTGCCTTCCCTGGACAGTATTTACCTGATTTTCGACCTTTTATGTATTTTCCACAGATGATTACACTTGGAGGTGATGCAGAACTTGAGCTAGTGGATTCTTTGGATCCTTTCTCTGAAGGTGTTGTTTTTAGTGTCAGACCGCCAAAGAAGAGCTGGAAAAACATTGCAAACTTATCGGGTGGTGAAAAGGTTATGTCCAATCATTGTCGACTTTCTTCATTTTTTGCTATACAAGTGCCTCGAGAATTTGAAGTTTTTTTAATACTCTGGGTTATAATAGCATTGGATCTTCTAACTATTTTCAGACCCTCAGCTCATTGGCTCTTGTTTTTGCACTCCATCATTACAAGCCTACACCACTGTATGTAATGGATGAAATTGATGCAGCTCTGGGTAATCTATCATTCTTCTGATCTAGGTTCCTTATATATTTAATATCTATTATTACTTCTCTCTGTTGTGTTCTTTAATTTGTACGGTTCACATGGATTGCCAGATTTCAAGAATGTTTCTATTGTGGGACACTATGTGAAGGACCGGACGAAGGATGCGCAGTTCATTATCATAAGGTATGCTAGCTAGACATTAACAACGGATCATCACTGGAATGTTTATAATTACTATGATTTTTTGTAAATTTAATATTTTTCTGCATATGCAGCCTTAGAAACAATATGTTTGAATTGGCGGACCGACTTGTTGGAATTTACAAAACTGACAACTGCACAAAGAGCATTACAATAAATCCAGGCAGTTTTGTGGTCTGTGAAAATGCTGCTTGAAGTGCATTAGGATTTTCTGCCAAATATGATATAACAAATATATCATGTGAATTGTATAGGCATATATTTTTTTGCAGACAAACATAAACTGTCTTACAAATATCAACACGATATTTATTTGGAATGATCTGATAGAGATGATTAATATTGTATTTCTTACCATATTTAATATTGTGTTTAGTGAATTCTACTGAACATTGATTTTGTCAGAATATTTTGTCCATTCCATTGAAAAATGGGTGATTTGCTTCCTGATTTAAAATAAATGTGATCTTTCAGTGTGATTTCAATTTGGATACTTTGGCCATCTAAAATACATAGTGAACCTATAATACAGGCAGACCCTATGGCGTACAAGAATGCCATAATTCATTTTTCCAGACAATAAAGAAAATGTTGATACAGCATTTTAAATATAGACTTTCTCCTCAGTTGCAATTTACACAGCACTAAGAGGATCTTTATTGTTAGTCTGCTCATCGATGCTTGTTCTGCGAATTCTGAATGAAAATGAAGGAGAAATTGCTTGGACTGGCTTATCGGTAACTCGAATCAGGTTATATGACCATGCTCCAAGCAAAGTTCCTGCTACTGGTCCAACAATGTAGACCCATATCCCCTTGTAATATGCACTAGCAATTGCAGGTCCTATCGTCCTTGCTGGGTTCATAGATCCGCCTGATATTGGGCTGAGGATAACTAGACAGGTATGTTAGTTATTCATAGTTATTGGTTTCTGTATATGAAGTTCTGGTCTTTCTGGAGGGATTCTAGTCTGAGATTTTGACTCATGAAAAATTCATAATATTAGTTATTTAGAAGAAAAATTGGTGAAGTTATTAATTTAATTGTCAAATATCTGTCTCGTAGTGAAAGAAGTCTCGAGTTTAGAGTTCAAATTCTTTTATATATTTTTTAAAATTATTTATTTTCCTATTTGCTACGGCTTACCCGGCCAAGATGGATGTTATACATACTGCGGAACCAACTGCTATACCTGCTAATTCTCCTATCTGCCACACAGAAAAAAAGAAAAGACTGATAATAATAAATACATGAAATATAAATATATATATATTTAAGGGAAAGTTATAGTTATTAGTATGATATTTACGGCTTTAGTGTCAGTTGCTACAGCTGAAGTAACAAACATCATAGAGAAAGTGACAACAATTTCCATGACAAGAGCCTGAAAGTCTGATCCAGAAGGTGAAGTTGTGCCAAGTTGTTTTATAGGGTGAAGTAACACTTTTAATGTAAATGAAGCTCCTATTGCTCCTGTCATTTGAGCTACTGCATAAAATGGCACCTGCAATAAATTAATAATAATTATCTTATTTTAACCAATAATTACATTAAAAATATACAAAAACATTAAAATCAAACCAATCAGTAACAGACTTTTAATTAATTAACCTCATTTAATGAGAGACCTCTTATTTGCTCAGATGGGAATTTAATTTTTTTTTTTTTTCTGTTTGCATATCTTCTCCTCAATTAAAGATTCCTTCCATATGTTTGTGGTCATTACTATTCTTCCTTACCTAACACATACACTCTCTTTAATTTCTTTTTTGTCTCTCAATTGAATTGGTTGTTTCACAAACATTCAAGTCCCACATAATATTATTTGAAGACTCACGTCCCATCTAATAATTCATTCTCTCAAGTCATTCAACTATAACAATTTGTGGACAATAACCTTAAATCCCCATTTTTTATGTAATAAATAAATCGCACACCACAAAAAAAAAAAAAAAAAAAAAAAAAAACTCTTCTCTTCTCAAAAAAAAAAAAATCAGTAATTTACATAATTACTAACTATCTCTAGGGGTTAATTCTGACACTCCTTGTCTCTTGAATATTTATATATTATGTGATGAGGAAAGTTCTTTCATTCTATAGATTTCTCTTGTAGTCTTTAAAAAAAAAAAAAAAAAAAATCTTCTGTAATAGAAATAAAAAACAAGATTTGTGGCTAGAAATATGAATAAAAAAGCCTAAATGGTTATTGGTTAATTTGGGGGCCCATAGTCATATCATGTTGCCAATATCCTCTGTCTGTCTGTCGCTACATAATTCATGGGATGGGAAACACCGGTAAGTCCTAACCAATGGAGGAGTTAGCTCTACGGCTACCGAACATGAAACTAAAATTTCTATAAATAAATAAATAAAATTGAAAATTAAATATACAAACCAACCTGTTTCCATGGAAACTCTCTAACAGCTGCAAAAGCTGTAGTAACAGCAGGGTTCATATGAGCACCAGAGACATGTCCTACTGCATATATCATCACTGTCACTATAAGTCCTCCTGCAACTGAAGCTCCTAATTCTGATACTCTTTTCTCATCGCTCCTACTAATGGCTGCCGTACCGCAGGTCACAAAAACCAACAGAAATGTCGCTATCATCTCTGCTACCACCTGTTCGATCATCTTCTTTTATTATCTAGTTATCCATAACTATATTATAAGGAAAAAATGAAAAAAAAAAAAAAATCTATGTTTTACCTTTCTGAAAAACCGCGGAGGGTAATGGTTTTGAAATGAAAGAAGAGGAATGAGAAATGGGTTTTCGGATTTTGGGTTCTCCACTGAAACAAGATATTCAGTAGAAGGTGAGGCTGTGTGATCTGAAGCTGATGTCGTTGCCATTGTTATTATCTTCTTTAGTTTCTTGAGTTGTAAAATTGATGGAACGATGGATGGGCAAAAGGGATTGGAGGAACTTGAAATTTATACGAATAAGAGAAGAAAGAAAGATACCAGACTTGATAAGGTAGGCTATAGCTTGTAAGTGAAGTGTCTCTCTGTATTAGTGTTGGTGTGGGCGAGGCAAGGGAAAGAGAATCAAAGTTGAGGTAATCAGGAGGCTGAAGTGTTTGTACCCATTGTTGCCAAGAGAGCTTTGTATGTATATATAATATATGCCCCTCGCAGGAAGGACATCGTATGGGATTCACTTGCCTCTACCAACTCTTAATTTTACTGTAAACTGGTCTAAGCAACCTGGTCTAAGCAAGTATATTCTGATATTATATTTGGCATGCATGCCATATTGTGCTGGCAGATGATGTTTTTGAATTATTTCTTAATGATATTTTGAATATGATGTTTTTTTTTTTTTAGTATTAGGGAGCATGGATTTGAACTTGTCAAATTGTATATACACTTACCATTAAGCTATGACACGAAGATCACATAATAATTTTTTTTAATAAATTATTGATTATAAATTTGAAACAGTTGTGTCATTATTTTAAATTATTAGATGAATGCAATTGTTTTATTTGATTGATAATGAACCCAAATTATCTAAACATTGATTTAACTTTTGAAAATTGGACAAAAAAAAAAAAAAAAAAAAAATCATTAAACTTCTCCTTTTAGCTATTTTGTTCAAAAAGAGATACGTGCAAACTGATGTAAGCTATTTTATTTCTCTACATACAATACAATATCACTTAACGTGCACAAATAATAATCTTTTCCTTTTCATTTCTCCAAGCCAGGTGTATGAGAAAATTAACTATGGAGACCACAATTAATATATATAATTTATAAAAATAAATATTATAATATAGCTGACGAGAATTCCTTTAAAAAAATAATAAAATGTTATAATTAAATGCAATCTAAAAAAAGCACACACACAACATTTTTTTAATTTATTTTTACATTTAATTTTTATAATTTTATATACTCTATATATATATTCTGTACCTATAATATATCCACTCAAATAAAAGACCTACCGATTCCTAACATTTTCCATAATTGAGTTGCCTTTACTTATTCCTAACATTTTCTATGTATAATCTGTAACCTCATCACATGATATTGGTATCTGAGCTTCGTACATGGGTTTATTATGTTTGCTTGTTTCTTGATGTACTTCGGTATCAGATTTTTTTTATTTAACTCTCTTTAGTTAGGTTAGATGTTTTGAGAAACCTATTGGTTCGAGATTAGATTTCGGAGTTTGTTAAGTTTTTTCTAATTTTATTAATAATAATAAGAAAATATTTACTAACTGTTAGAAAAAAACAGATTTAAAACCCTTTTGGAATTGCAAACCAAACATTCATATCTATTTTTGTGTGATAGAAATTTTTTTTACATATTTAAGTTCCACTTGTGCATATTTTTCATATTAAAACAAATTTATTTTGACCCTCCTAACATATAATTCTGACTCCCTCACCTTATAGTGTGTACCTACCCATTCCTAACATTTTCCATGATTGAGTTTCCTTTTACCATATCATTTATGTTAGGTTCTCATATCATTTATTTCATAAATATTTTGTTTAATATTGAATTAATAATCAAATCCACATAAATAGTAAATATATAATAAATTAAGAAATAGTCATATTGAATAATAAGGACTATGAATTTTGATTTTAAGATAGAATATGGATATATGTGTTGGGGATATCCTCCGATATCCTCCCAAGTCCCACATCGGAAAAATGTGAGAAGAGGAATCAAAATATAATGGTTCAAACCCAACCCATTAGTATGAGGCTTTTTGGGAGGTGTCCAAAAACAAATCTGTGAGTTGGATGGTACACGTGGTCCTATCAATATGAATATTCAATAATCCTAATTTATTTTTCATAAGCAATCGCTTGAGTTCGTTTGAGAAATTCTAATTAAATAAATTCACATCTTAATATTTTTCAATTTCAATGCTAAATTAACTATCTATTAAATAGTAGGTAGGTCCATAAATTTATTAAAATAATAAATTGAAAATATGATGGCTCCGCTATCGATTTCAATTAAATAATAAAAAAGACAAAAAAAGCGTCAGAAATTAAAACAAGAATATCAATATCGCTTCCTTTTATTTTATTGACAATTAGAGATAATATTAATAAGAAGTAGGACGGTGCATTTTTGGGATTTTCCAATCAAAGAATTTCAGGTTTTTAACTTCCACTTGTGCAGATATTTTTAATTGGTTTCCAATATCTTTCTGTGGTTGCTGCTTAAAGATATGTCTCAATTGATCCATTAATGAGACTTATGACTCCCAAATCCCTTTTTCAAGCAGAAATGCAAATCAGCCATGGCTCTTTATTGGAGTAAAGAGCTCCATTGGAGTGAAGAGTAGCGTGTCTATATATCGTGTCTATTATATATAATAATATATATAATATATATATATATATATATATATATATAATATATATATATAACTTTTTATATATAACTTTTTTTTTTTCTCGTATAATAATTTTTGAATATGAATATAGCAAAGCGTGAATCATGCAAGACCGAAAGGGTATGCCAAATACAGAAAACATCAAATTAATTTATTAAAACACAAATATAGAGAAAGATGTTATCCAATTAATAATATAATAAGTGGGTTAATTAATCAGCAAATTTTAGTTTTCCACGCATTTAGATAAGCAGAGAGGCCACTGATGACTGATGATATTGTGTTGTAGTGTTTGTATTTGACCTTCAAATAATTATAATTATAATTATAATTATAATTAACTAAACACAATAATCCAAGGGCAAGTCTCTATTAGGTCACCACTTGCATTCAATTTTGTATTTTCCATCTCCATTATTGTTTAATCCTCATTTCCATGGAAAATAAATTTTGCAAGGAAGGAATTATGAGGCTATCAAGATCATTTAACATTAATTTTTTTAATTATAAATTAATATTTCATCATTATATGTATTAGACCAATGGCAATCTAAATAATATTAAAATACTTTTTTTTTTTTTTGATAAATAATACTCTCCTTCTATAAGACAAAAACGTGCCTTTACAATGGTATATACAAAGTGTTGATGTATTAATCAGCAGGAATTAATCAATTGAGGAATCCAATTCTTTTAGGAAAAGTTGCCCAAATATGCTTTTTATTTTGTTTTCTTGTTTTCTCATTATATTTGCTTTTTTTTTTTTTTTTTTTTTTTTTTTTTTTTTTTTTTTTTTGAGTCATCATATTATAACATTCATTTTTTTTTTTTTTTTTTTTTTTTTTTTTTTTTTGTCATCAATATTATACATTCAACCTTTCAAACTATGTATTATAAGTTGAACGCGTTTAATTAATTTAATGAGTTTTAATTTATTATCATGCGTGAAATCAAAAATTAATGTTGGAAAAAAATTAAATAGTTTTCGAACTTTAGCAGATTCATAATAATGAAACCAACCAAAATCAAATATATAAACACGTTTATTATTCCTCACATGCAACAGTTAAACAAAACAAATACAATTTAGTGCTAATAATCTTATATATTTAAAAAGAAATATTAATGTTTTTAATATTATATAATAAAAGCTCTGAATTATATATATACACGGACCATGCTGAAATGTAGGATAATAAATTAAAATAAATAGAAAGACATTTTTTTTCCTTGTCTATTTTGATGGTCAAGTTGATTTTTTTGGGTCCATTAAATACAGATGTTAAAGGTTTAGTTTATTTTTGGAAAATAATATTAAAAATTATCCTTTTTCAGGAACCACGAAAAATATGCAGTGGACCAACACTCTGCATCCAATTATTCCATGCTTCAAGCATAGCTTTCTCAGGTTCATTATTATTGATTGGTACAAAGACTTGGGAGTTGGGGCTAGGGATGATCCGATGGGTACGGCCCGAATTTTCTAATACCAAGGATATATATACTTGTTCTGTATTTTATTCAAAAAGAAAAAAAAAAAAAAACGTTCTGTATTTTTCCGTAACATTTTATTTAGAACTGTTTAAAAATAATAAATAACTATTAAATATTATGATTTAGAAATACCGATTCCTAAAGTTTGAATTGCCAATCCAAACGTGAATTTGTAAAAACATCTCAAATCAGTGATTGATAGTTCAATAACCAAACAGTGATTTTCCAACCGTTGATCGAAACGGGCTCACAGTATCATGAGACTAGGGCCTCTCCCACTTGGCATGGAAAACTAACGGATGGTTGCAGGCTTTAAGCAGCCGAGCCCAATATGGACCACTGGACACAAAATAATAGGGATATTTCGGCCCATTCCATTGTTTTCTTAATTTTTTTATTACCAAATTTGGTTGTTGATTTTTATTTCTTATTTATAAGATAATAGGGATAATTTATTTTATTTTTGTTTCGTTGGGAGGTCTAGTGGATCAAAATAGCATTATAGACTATATAGCAGGGATAGCCCTTCATTTGACTCACCAAATTGGTAAATATTATTATGGTCGAAAGAAACTTGAATTTAAGATATTTTATTTTTTGTACAAGTGAAAAGACCAACCAGATCACACATGATTGGACGTGATAATTTATTTTTTATTTATTGATTTATGCATCCTTTACATAAAAGTTTTTGCCCCTTGACATTTAGAAATTAAGCAATATATAGATAAACTCGTTTAAAGCATGGATATATTTTTAAATTAAAATGTTTTGGTCTAGAACAAACATTGTTTTCATTTCATATCCCAATACCTCTTTTTTCTACCCACAAAAGAGAATCCAAAGATTCGACTCTTGAAACAAATTAAATAAATTAGCATGAGTTCAGATTATATTCATATTTTAATGTTTAAAATGTTAAAATTTTTATGTGTAAACAATCTTAAAAATTTCAGTCAACTTCATAATGTGTTTTTAACATTAAATCAATGTTTTTCCATCAAAGATATATTATAATATTAGTATTATTAAGGAATAATTTATCTGAACACTTAATATTAAAAGATTTGATGAAGAAAATATTGAAATTTAAGGGGAAAAAAAATATTGTAAGAACTTGCAAAATTTAAATATTATTAAGACTAAATTTAAATATTAAGTATGCTTTTTAAGACTAAATTTAAAAGTTCTAACATTTTTATTTTTTCCAGTATTAGTAGTTATGTTTCTCGTGGATCCCATCGTCATGTGATCATCATATGCAATAAATTACTAATTAATTATTTTTCTTTCTTTTTCGTACATACATGCATCATAGAGGAACAATAAAATACCCTCATATTAAATAATAATAAAAAGTTAAATCCATTAATAATTAAATTTAGGCC